AAATAAAGCTGTTGGCTTCGAGAAAGCTGCGTGGCAGCTCCGCTGGGGCAGTAGCTGTTGGTGACGGTGCCAGTTCTTGTGGCGTAGAAAAAGAATAACTTGGTTTGGGTTGGTTCTTTGGGTGTTTTTTTTTTTTTAAGCGCCGGTGGGGCAGGCAGGGCTGGAATCCTCCTGCCAGCTCGGCAAGAAGGGGAGGCATTGGGGCGGGCTCGCCGCCGTCCTGCTGACCTCTTCCTTAATCCCGCAGCCGTCAAGATCAAGAAGAACAAGGACAATGTCAAGTTCAAGGAGAGCTGCAGCCGGTACCTCTACACCCTGGTCATCACCGACAAGGAGAAGGCGGAGAAGCTGAAGCAGTCGCTGCCCCCAGGTATCCTGCGGCGTGGGAAGGGGGCGAAGGGCAGGGGGAGCCCCAGGGGAGCCCCCGCTCTCCTGCAGCCTTGTCCCAGCGCCTCCGCCCCAGCACGGGGGGCACCAGTTTTGCTGGGATGGATGGCGCGGTCGGTCCCTCGCCCAGGGAAGCGCCGCTGTGTCCCCCCCAGTGCCCTGGTGTCCCCGGAGCTGGGCGGGCAGAGCCTTTTCAACTGCTGAGCCATCTCTTCTCTCCCCAGGTCTGGCCGTGAAGGAGCTGAAATGAGCCGTTCGTTGGGTACAATAAATAAAAACCTCAACTCTTTCCACCCCCCTCACTCCCCGGCGCCTTTTTGTCTTTTCCCAACAGCACCGGGCTGAAACCGTTTGTGTCCTCCCAGCTCCAGGCGGGGACGGAGCCTGACGGGCTCTGCTGGGACTCCCCCCGTCGCCCTCCTGGGCCTTTGGGAGCCAGGCTGGGCCAGTGGCCCGGTGGGTGGCCCAGCGAGGGCCCCTGGTGGCCCCTTCCTGGGGGCCTGAGGGCAGCAGGGGGGCCCAGCTCTGGGTGTTCTGCTGCCCTGGTGGGCGCCATGGGGGCACGGGACCCCTGGGAGAGGCTGGGGGCTCCCCTGGGGTGGTGTCCCTTCCCTGTGAAGCTGTGCCCCTATAGTGAGGGGGGGACAGACAGGGAGCCGGGCCCCCGTAGCG